GCGAAATGGCTCGGACGAGTGGGTGTCTGGCACATTCGGCCAAGAGATTCTCATGGCTGAATGTGCCAGACACCTACCTGGGCGCCAAACTGCACACACACACACACTCTCTCTCTCTCTCTCTCTCTCTCTCTCTCCCTAAAGACCAACAGCACCTTTCTGAGCGGCAGGCCCGGCGCCTTTCTTTGTTTGGCTTCCTGTGCAGGCAAGACATCGGATGCTTTGAGAAATTGCACAATACACAGTCCACGCACAGAAATCAGAAGCTCGCACCCTTTTGCGAAATCCGTTTGTGCTCCTTGCGAGACCGTGGGCCAAGCCGCGGTTTCAGTGCTTTGAATTTCCATCAGCATTTAATTTATGTCTCCGAAATTCTGGGACTGGGAGATCATCGCAGGCGCACCAGTGGTCCTCGCGAAAGCATGCGTCGTACGGTACCAGTTCCTTCGGAGTCAGGTACATCTAGAAATAACACCGACTGCAATGGACGCACATGGAATCCATGACCACCAGCTCCAGTTGGCCTATGATTTCTCTCTTTTCTTGTGGTAGGAACTTTGATAGTTCTCCGGCTATTGCTGAAAAGGTTACCTCCGTCACCGTCTCTGAGATCTTGAGAGACTCCATCATCTTCACATTCATTTCCATGCTTTCCTCCGTGCTTGTGGGAAAGGATGCATCCGTCTCAAGATCCTCCGTCTGCTTCACAGGGGCTTCCATGCCTTCCTCCGTGCCACTCATGGCTGCTCTAGAATTGGCTGCTTGACGTGTGAAGTCTTTAGTGGCGGATTCCTGGAGGCTGGCGTTTGAACCGAAAACCGCCACAGCAACATATTCAAGTTTCGGTCGGCCTGTGGTTGAGGCCTTATCAGGCAGTGGGCAGCAGGGTGAACTCAAGTGAGCCCTGAATCCTACAAAGCTTCTCTGCCCTGAAGCGGCCCCTTCCAAATCTCAACTGGGCACGATCAGCTCCGGCTGGCCTTTTCTTTGTAGTGCTTCTGGGCGGACGGCTGAAACCTGCCAGGTGAGCAGGGACGTTTGGTTGATGAAGACGACGTCTTCATCAACCGGACGTCCTTGCTGCCGACGGCGTCAGTGGGATGCAGAAGACACAGTATCCCCCCAGGAGAGGTGTGAGCAGCTCAGCTATATAAGATGCTCACATCGCTCCTGGGCGGATACTGTCTTCTGCATCCGTTCCTGCTCCTGCAGCAGGTCCGGTCGGTGTTTCGTGGCCTCAGCGATTATTCACAGAAGCGAAAAGGTACATGTCGATGCTTTGCAGAACATGGCTGCATCCTGAAGCGGACTTTTGACCAAATGACGTGTTTTCGCTCCATTGTACCCCAGTAAACTCACAACTGGACAGGTGGCATGTCATTGCCGTGGTCACGCGACTAGTGTAGTACTATTCAGTTCATGCGTCTCATGCACTCTGCCCTGTGAGAACCTACCAGCCTGCAGCGATTTTATCGCTGCGAAACCCAGAATCCGTCGGCTCAGTCAGCAAACATGAAAGCCTCCGAGCAGCGCAGTGCTGATCAAGGAAACAGCATAATAATACACAAACAACAAACTGGCCTGGCCTTCCGGCCAGCAATGCGGGAGCTGTTTTCGTTCTCTCCTGCTCTTTGAGCTGCTTTGTAGGCCCTCTTGTACGCGGTACACTTCCTGGAGCGCAGCTGATCCCTCGCCGCTTGTTCGGGCGTCTTTTCCTTCTTCGCTGTCTTCTGCGTGGCCTTGTCACCCGCCTTATCGTTTGTATTCTTATCCGTTGGCTTTTCGTCAGCATCCTTTTTCTTGGCTTGCGCCTTGGGCTTGGCGTCAGCATCCTTTTTCTTGGCCTGCGCCTTGGGCTTGGCGTCAGCATCCTTTTTCTTGGCCTGCGCCTTGGCCTTGGCGTCAGCCTTGGCCTTGGCCTTGGCTTTGGCACCGGCCTTGGCCTTGGCCTTGCCCTTTGGGTTGGCCTTGGCCTTTGGCTTGGTCGTGGAAGCCCCAGCCTTCGGCTTGTCATCTTCTTCCGGAAGCTTTCTCTTCCTAGCCTCGGCTTCTCCCTCATGTTTTTCCTCGCAAGACATGGCCAAGTCAAGTGGCTTGAATGCAATACCGCCGCTCAGCACTGGCTGCCTTCTCCTGCTCTTCATTCTTCGGCTGGCAGTTTTCCTTGTTGTCCTAGCATCGCACTCAGGGGCGGATTCGCAAGTCAATTCCGTTGAGACACAACCTTGTCCATCAACACGAGACTCACTCCTGCCTTGTTATCCGAATCCATTGCAAGAATCTTTTGACGTTTCCGCAATGAGGTAGCTTCCTGGCTTGCAAATCATGGCTATGTAAAGAGAACGACAGGGGAGCTTGCCTGTTCACCCTCACTGTCTGTTATCTCCACCTGCAGCGGAACGTCGTGGTTCCCTCAAGATATGAAGAACCGGACCTGCTCGGTGATCAACTTTGAATCCTCTTCCAAGAGCAGATCGACCTGCTCATTGCCGGTTTCCATCAGCTTGGAGTGTCTGGCGAAGTCAAAGCACGACCCACCCAATGCAACCTGCCGGCCTTGTTCGTTCTGTCCAGGCGCGGCTCCTGGCAGCTTGAAATCTCTGGCTAAGTGAAAGTACCGAGACAGATTGCCTTGTCCTTGTCTTCCAATGGAACCTTCATCATCGCCTGCGGATCCTGGCCGTTTCGAAGTTCTGGGTAGGTTCAGACGAGGCAAGCAGCCTGCCTCCTTGTTCTCCTCGACCGGAATCTCCTGCTGTTGCTCATGCATGTGCGCTTCCTCGCAGCTTGGAAATTTTGTCGATGATAAACTCAAAATATGATGCTTACTGAGGAGGTGTCCTGGCCAGCTTCCGTGTTTGGGACCTCCTGCTATAAAACTTGATTTGACACACTTGCGGATTCTACCAGAATGTCGACACGAGCACAGAATCCTGCCGCCTTGTGGTCCCTCATTGGAATCTCCTGCTGCTTGTTCACGTCGTGTGTTTCCTGAAAGCTTCAAAATCTGTAAAAATTGTTTAACACTTGCGGATTCTACCAGAATGTAGACACGAGCCCGGAATCCTGCCTCCTTGTTGTCACTCATTGGAATCTCCTGCTGCTTGTTCACGTCGTGTGTTTCCTGAAAGCTTCAAAATCTGTAAAATTTGATTTAATTTTGCGGATTCTACCAGAATGTAGACACGAGCCCGGAATCCTGCCTCATTGTTGTCCTTCATTGCAATATTCTCTTGCGTGATCACGTCGTGTGTTTCCTGAAAAATTAAAACATCTGGATGTTAAAGCACAATACAAGCAGCCGCCTGGTCCGCGCCGAACTTTGGCGTCTCCCGGATTTCCCGTTGCGGTTCCTGGCCACTCGGAATCTTCGTGCTGTCCAGGCGCGGCTCCTGGCAGCTTGAAATCTCTGGCTAAGTGAAAGTACCGAGACAGATTGCCTTGTCCTTGTCTTCCAATGGAACCTTCATCATCGCCTGCGGATCCTGGCGGTTTCGAAGTTCTGTGTAGGTTCAGACGAGGCAAGCAGCCTGCCTCCTTGTTCTCCTCGACCGGAATCTCCTGCTCTTGCTCATGCA